AGTGTAATCAAAATCACTAAAAAAAAAATTATGAAATATCTTTTTTTTTAAGTGACAAATTCCAAAACTATAATTTACCAAAAAAAATTATAAGTTTTCCTTTATTAAAAAATTACCAATAAAAACCTGTAAATATTACCAATAAATTCCATTGCATGAAGTTAGTACGAGTGTTGGGTTTTTTTTATTAAAAAATTACCAATAAAAACATGTAAATAGAAAATTTGCTTCTTCATAGTACCCTTTTACTAAAAATAGAAAAACAAATTTGATCATATATTATATTATCTAATAATAAGTCACAATTTGTTTCCTTTGTTCTTTTCTTTCTTCATTTTATTTTTTATTTTTTAAATTTCAGATAGACAAATATAAAAAATGAGGATTAAAGCTATTTTAATATATATATATATATATATATATATAGAAAAACAAAATTTTAAACCCATTGATCATTCCCAAGAAAAGAAGTCAGCTAAGTGTCACGGGCTTAGAGTTTCAGCACCACTCTAGCTGCTCCCGTGCGGCACCAAGACGTTGCTTTCACTCTCGCAAGTACTTGGTCAGCCTAACTCCCGTGCACACCTTAGCCAACACACTCCCCTCGTGCGCTTACTAGTGTTGTAGTTGCCCTCGCCCTCTCCTCACTTGGCTTGCACACTCACACACACTAAGGCACTTAAGTTGGCAAGGAAAGAACACTTCTATTACTTCAAAGAATGCTTTGTACAAGGCTAACACTCAAGCTCTCTACAAGGCTCTCAAGACTCACTCTAGGACTTGTTCCCTACAAAATGAAGTCCTACCTCTATTTATAGGCATCCCCATCCCTAATGGACGGCTAGGATGCATTCTAACCAACGGTGGAGATTGATTATCTAGAATCTTCTCCCACCTTCTTCACACTTCCATACTTATCTACTAGTATCTACAACATTCTAGAATTCTCCATACTACTCCACAAAACTCTGGAGAACTCTAGAACCTTCCACACACTTCTACACATTTCTACACATATCTAGAATCTTCCACATAACTCTAGACTATTCCGGAAGACTCTAGAAAATCCACTTGCCATGCAGTTGCCATGCAGCGTCCTCCTCAGCGTCTGCGTGTCGCCTGCGTGGCACAACCTCCATAGGCGGGGCGTGACATTCTCCCCCACCCATTTCCGTGACGCCCTCGTCACGATTTCTTCAGCTGACCCAGCCTCTCGCAGGTCATCAGCACTTGCGCATATGTCCTTGGCCCAAACGTACGAGCGCCCTTCGGGAGATGTGAAGTCCTCACGAGCTCCATCGTGTTGACTGCCACCTCTGGACTCTCCTTCCTGCCCACGAGCGGCACCATACATGCGGCCTTGCCTTCCTCGCCTCCAAGTATCATCAACGCACCAAGGCATGGTAGTGGCGCGGCGTTGTTCCTGTCCATGAACTCCAGCCCCAGCACCATGTCGTGGTCGTCCATCTCTGCAACTTGGAAGTCAGCCTTGCCCTTCCATCCTTGCATGCATAGCTCCACCTCCTTGCACACTCTACTCACGCGTGCCTCCTTGGAGTTGACGGCCTTGATCCAGCCCTCCGTCTTGCGCATCTCCAAGCCAAGTCGTTGCGCCTCCTCCGGGGTAATGAAGTTGTGTGTAGCACCCGTGTCTACCAACGCTTGCACGGCTTTGCCACCAACCTGCGCATCCACATAGCGCACCCCAGCTACTTTCTTCGCCTTACCCTTTTTCTTGGTGTCATGCGCCATGCTACTCAGCATCTGCATAGCCCCCATGCACCTGTCTTCGTCGCTGCCCGTATCATCCACCTTGCCCTTGTCCTTATCCTTCACAAGGGCGCTCATGGTCTTCTTGTTGGGGCAGTGTCGCAATATGTGCGGCCCTTCGCACAAGTAGCACTTCGGCTCCCACTTGCCCTTATCGCGGCGCTCCCCTTTGCCACTAGCCTTAGACCTCTCTCCATGGTCCTTGCCTTTATCATGACGTGGGCGTCTCTCCTCATCGCTGTGCTCATCATCACTAGACTTGGGCGAGCCCCGTTTCTTGAAGCGCCGGTCTCCCCCACCTTTGCCGTGGTCCCTCCTGGGAGACGTGGCCCTCTTGTCATCGCGCCTAAAGTCTTCGAGGCGCTCCGCTATAGCCATTGCGGATGCCAAGTCTCTAGGCTCCCTCCTCCTTAGCTCCGTGGCCACCCAAGACTGCAGCCCATCAATGAACAAGCACACACGTTGCCGCTCCGGCATCTCTGGGATCTCCAGCATCAAGTTGGAGTACTCCTTCACATACTCCCTTATGCTGCCCTTCTGCTTCAGGCGCCTTAGGTTGATCATGGCCAGGTCCTCAACGCACTCAGGGTAGAACTGCCTCTTGAGCTGTCTCTTGAACTCCTCCCATGTGTCAACTGCTCTTGCGCCTCTACCAGTGAAGCGCTGCCTCCACCATAGAGCGGCGGTGTCTGTGAGGTACATAGTGCCTGTCTGCACCTTCTCCCCATCATCCTCGATCTCCATGCACTCGAAGTACCGCTCCATGTGCCAAAAGAAGTTGTCAATCTGGCGCGCATTCCTTGCCCCATCGTACTCCTTGGGCTCCGGCGCCTTCTTCTTCCTTGGCTTCACCACGACCTCGCGCGCCTGGGAGAACTCCTTCTTGCACTCGGCAATCTCCACGCGCAAGTCGTCTACCAAATCATGCAAGTCCCTTTCTTTCTCTTGCGCCTTGTTGGCGATGCCATCAATCAGCTCGTAGAGCTCCGCCATCCTTCTCTCGAGCCTATTAAACTTGGTCTCCGTGTAGACCAAGTGTATGGCAAGCTTCTCCTCCAAGCTCTGCTCTAAGATGTGGACTTGGTGGTCTCCTCCGCTAGCCATGTCTACTCCAACAAAGCTCCCTTGACGAACCTGCTCTGATACCAACTGTCACGGGCTTAGAGTTTCAACACCACTCTAGCTGCTCCCGTGCGGCACCAAGACGTTGCTTTCACTCTCGCAAGTACTTGGTCAGCCTAACTCCCGTGCACACCTTAGCCAACACACTCCCCTCGTGTGCTTACTAGTGTTGTAGTTGCCCTCGCCCTCTCCTCACTTGGCTTGCACACTCACACACACTAAGGCACTTAAGTTGGCAAGGAAAGAACACTTCTATTACTTCAAAGAATGCTTTGTACAAGGCTACCACTCAAGCTCTCTACAAGGCTCTCAAGACTCACTCTAGGACTTGTTCCCTACAAAATGAAGTCCTACCTCTATTTATAGGCATCCCCATCCCTAATGGACGGCTAGGATGCATTCTAACCAACGGTGGAGATTGATTATCTAGAATCTTCTCCCACCTTCTTCACACTTCCATACTTATCTACTAGTATCTACAACATTCTAGAATTCTCCATACTACTCCACAAAACTCTGGAGAACTCTAGAACCTTCCACACACTTCTACACATTTCTACACATATCTAGAATCTTCCACATAACTCTAGACTATTCTGGAAGACTCTAGAAACTCCACTTGCCATGCAGTTGCCATGCAGCGTCCTCCTCAGCGTCTGCGTGTCGCCTGCGTGGCACAACCTCCATAGGCGGGGCGTGACATAAGGCTTTTCACTCTACATATATTATTAATCTCTAAATAATTAAGAATAAACTAAGAATAATCTTGTCAATCTTGTGCATGTGGTGTATCAAACCATAGGATGAGAATCAAACAAAATGTCCATGTGAATCACTGTATGCAAGTCAGAACAAGTGGTTTGAAGTGTTGCATTTGCTACAGTGAAAGTTGGGCCTTGAATGAAGTCGGAACAAACAAGAACACCAATTTGGTGTTCCAAGATTTCAGCCTTTTTTACACAGTGTTCTGCAAAGTGTTCTGAAAATGGCTTACTGTTCACATTCTGGAGCAATACACCACACTACACTACACTACAGACACCAAACAGGCCCAAATTGGGAAACTAAACAAAACTTATGGTGAACCTTAGAATTGTAAAAGGTAATTTAATGTGATTACACGTGGTTGGTAGCATATAAGTGATGCAGAGAGAGTCAGAAAGGGAATGCTTAGGCCATCTGAGTGGGCTTGTAGAAGCTTAATTTCCGCAAGCCAAGAGCTGTTTGGATGCACAGTGCCCTAGCTAAACTTCGTGGGCTCCATTTTTGCTCGAGGGCCAGCTTGCGATATTTAGCGAGTCGGCCCGCGATCCCTGCCCATTTTTTTCTTTTTTTTTTTTTTTTTGGAAAACAACGCCATTTTGGATTGCTTATTTTGTCTTATCCCATGGCTACTGGAATAGTGGCCACATCTAAAAATAAGTTATTTTGAGCTCCTTTTAGAAAGAAAAAAAAAATTTAAAATAAAATTCATTAAATAAAAAATATATTGTTTAGGCACTGTTTATTGAAAAAAAAAAATTATTTGGGCCAAAAATAAATTCAAAAAGTTTTTTTTTTTCTTTTTTTTTCCTCTTAAAATATATATATATATATATATATATATATATATATATATATTTGGCTTTAAATTTTAAATGTGTACCACAAACAATGCATTTGGCCGTTAAGGCACTGTTTGGCCGACACAAATAGTGCCTTAACAGCTATAATTTTTTAAAATATATATATATAATTTTTTTTTTTAAACTTTTGTAAAAAAAATAATTAAAATTACAAATTCATCTACTTATTCCCATAAGATTTTGTAATCCTTATTTTCTTATTCCAATTCATTATTTTGTAATCCTTATTTATTTGGGCCAAAAATAAATTTAAAAAAAGTTTTTTTTTTTATAAAATTTTTTGTAAAAAAAAAAAAATTAAAATTACAAATTCATTTACTTATTCCCATAGGATTTTGTAATACTTATTTTCTTATTCCAATTCATTATTTTTAATCTTAAAAAATCATTACATAATAAAAATTCTAAGATACGAAATGTCATAACATCTTAAAAGCAAACAAAATGCAGCATAAATTAAACATTTTCATCAGCATAGCGATTTCACAAATTTTTCATCAAATCATTCCTCAACCGCGTATTTATCTCTCTGTTGCGAATCTGAAGTTGGCAAGAGGATATGTGTGCCACTAAAATCGATACGTATCGACTTAAAGTGGGAATAGGGATTGCATTCTTCGGTGGTGGAGTCCATTTTCCAACATTTACGTGACGCGCATCTTCAATGATCATATTATGAAGGATACACGTTTTCATTATGAGGCGCAACTCATCTTTCTCCCAGTAACGCACTGGTTCTTGCGTTATTACCCACTTGATCTGCAATACCCCAAAAGCCCGTTCCACATCTTTCCTTGCTGCCTCTTGTCGCTGAGCAAATAATTTTTCTTTTGTAGTAGTTGGGTGTGGGATTGTGTGCATCAAAGTTGCCCACTTAGGATATATACCATCAGACAGGTAATACCCCATTCTATAGTGATGTCCATTCACCACATAATTAACCGGAGGTAATTGGCCATTGACGATATCGTTGAATACCGAAGAATGATCCAACACATTTATATCATTGTGTAAACCCGGCATTCCAAAGAATGCATGCCAGATCCACAAATCTTGTGAGGCAACTGCTTCCAATATGAGAGTATTCTTAACAGATCGTCCCCTATGTGTGTCGTGACACTGTATTGGGCAATTCTTCCACTCCCAGTTCATACAGTCAATAGAACCAAGCATACCCGGAAAATCCTCTCTGCTCCCCTTCTTCAAGCAGCCGTGCTATGTCGGCTTTGTTGGGTGGGCGCATATACTCCTCTGCATACACAACAACAATAGCATTACAAAATGCCTTCAAGCATTTAATGGCAGTGCTCTCGTCGATTTTAATACACTCATCATAGTGATTGGTTGCACAACCATATGCAAGTATACGAACATCATTTATCATCTTCTGTATAGAAGACAACCCCAGACGACCAGTCGCATCCTTTTTTTGGACAAATTAGTCATCATAAGCTTTAACATCATTAAGGATACGAAGAAAAAGTTCTTGTCGCATCTTGAATCGCCTGTAAAAGTATTCCGGTGATTATGTGCAATTCTCGTCGAAGTAGTCTTTCATTAGCTGATAGTGGCTTCCCTCTCGGTCACGATGAATGTACCGCTTCTTTTTACGGACTTGAAATACTTGCTCAACTATCTCTGGCCTCACTGAATTCATAATCTCATAAAATTCGTCTTGATCCTATTGAATCAACGCCCCAAAAGGATCATCTTCCGAAGAGGATGATGAGGAAGATGAAGAATTAGAGTCCGCCAAAGGAAAAACTTGTGATGACGAAACCATTCGACTTTCAAAATTGAAAAAGATGGATGATGATATTTTGCTACAATGGAGAGAGATGAATATAGTGATGATTTTCAGATGAGCAAATGAGTTTCATTATATAAGATGAAAAATATAGCTGTTACGAATATAGCCGTTTAGGAAAAGTTAAAAAAAAAAATAAAAAATTTAATTTTAATTTTTTATTATTATTTTTTTTGGAGAGCGAAAATTCGGAGAGCCTAATGGAGTGCTTATTTCTGGAGAGCGAAAATTGGTGACAAGGCTTTTGGAATTGCTTACGTGGTTTTTAGAAAAACTGATGTGGCGTTTTTAGAGAGCCAAAATCTGGAGAGGTTGGTACAGATGGCCTTAGAGCATCTGCACCACCCTAAGCTAAAGCACAATTTTGACAATTTAGAGGCTTAAAGTCACACCATCGGCTCGCGGAACTGGGCAGGGTCCACACCAATTCGCGGGCCGGCTCGTGGAATATCGCCAGCCCGAACCTAATCATGGTAATTTTTTTTTTCCCTGACCAAAACGGGCGGCTTATTTGTGAAGCTTTTTTTGTTTTTTTTTTAAAACGGTCAAGAACGGTGCCAAGGCCCTGTTTGGCAGAATGATTTTTTTTTTTAGAAAAAAAAAAAAAAAAAAAACCCAAAAATAGGTTATTTTGAGCACATTTTTTTTTTTAAAAAAAATTCAAATAAAATTCATTAAATAAAAATTATATTGTTTAGGCACTGTTTGTCCAAAAAAAAAAAAAAAATTTAGGCCAAAAATAAATTAAAAAAACCTTTTGGGGTAAAACTGAAGAGCAAAACCGTGCGGGCTTATCCCTAAAGCGGACAATATCATACTATCTGGTGGAGTGGGTCATTACAAATGGTATCAGAGCCTGACTAAGCCGGAAGTGTGGCCAACAAGGACGTTGGGCCCTAAAGGAGGTGATTATGGCGATCATGTGGGCGGGTGTGCGGTGGGCGGGTGCAAGACACTGGCAGACTACCACACTGGGCGGGTTACGAGTGCACAATCCCACATTACTTGGTTAAAGGAAGGGTGAAGTGCTTATATGTAGGTGTGTCACTTCAATTGGTATGAGGCCTGTGGAGGGAAAAAATCCCCCTTCCACTAAGAATCGTCCACATCATCACACTACAAAATTATTTTAGATACCACAAGGGCCCAATCGGTGCCAAGCCTAAATTGGATCGGACCAGTCCAGAGCAAGCCCAGACAAGGCCTTGGCTCCTACATGGATCGCAGACCCAAGCCACCCGGCCCAACTTCTAAGCCCAGACGTCGACAGCCCATAACACCAAAGGTGAACTCCAAGCCATTAGCTGAAACATCTGGGTCAGCCCACATTCAGCCCAATCTTGGTTAAGGGAAGTCCAGTACTGCTAGGCCAAGGAATCATAAAAAAGAGCAAGTTCTGTACAAGGAAAACTTTGCATGGAAAGAATTGTAAAAAGGAAAGGATTATAATTGTAAAGAAAATCATATAAGGAATGAATTGGAGGACAAGCCATGTGAATCCTACCAAAATTCCACCACTGTATTTCTTACAAATAGAGGCTTAGACCTCCAATAAAAGGATCGAGCATTATATACTTGTTCTGAGTTTTATTCTTGCTTGTTCTGAGTGAGTTGTATTTTTCTTTTTATTTATTTCAATAAAGAGAAATTTTGCACCTACACTTTGGTGCCGTCGGTGGGAAATGTATAGAAAGATACTCCCACTTTTGTTTCAAATTATTTTGATTTCCACGAATTGGAATGTCGAACGGAGAATCAATGACGACAGATCAACAGATGGAGTTGATACAAAAGATGCGAGAAGAGTTCTTGCACCAATTCGAAGCACTTCGTCAGGCGAATGAAGCCAGCGTAGCCCAGATTGCATTACTTCAACAGCAAAATGACACCATTCAAACGGCTATGGCTCAGTTGACACCTCAGCCACCACTAGTAGACAGGGCTGCGCCTCATCCCAACCAAAACGAGCCTCAGGTCAATAGGGTTCGGCCTAATGAAATTCGGCCACTACCAGTTGACAGGGCTGCGCCTCCTTCCAATCAAAACGAGCTTCAAGTCAATGGGGCTCGGCTTAGTGAAGTTCAACCTACCTAAGTTCATCAAGACCAGAGGGCCAGGTCCGAGGCAGTAGCTTCGGACAATCTTCCTCGTCACACGCAAGATGAACAGGCCGAATCCAGCCGTAAACTCACGGTATGGTCTAATGGTGTTCAAGATGGTGCAGGAGCAAAATAGGCATATGACGAGAAGAGACTTCTGAGAGTTCAAACGCCTGCAGAGATGGCCAAGGAACATAAGAACTCTTTCGTGAAAACTCCATTCACTGACGATGTGTACCTTATTGACAGACCTAAGAAATTCACTATGCCTACTCTTACCCAGTTTGATGGTACGGGAGATCCTTCTCGGCACTTAGATCACTACGCACAAAAGATGGCTCTGGACGATCACAATGACCCATGGATGTGCAAAGTTTTCCCTACCAGTCTAACGGGGGCTGTGCTGGAGTGGTTCAGGAATAGGCCACACAAATCTATTCCAGACTACGAAACTCTATGCACTATGTTCCTGGCGCAGTATTGCTATAATAAAAAGTAAAAGAAGAGTATTGCTAGCCGTTTCACTATAAGGCAAAAGAAGGGCGAAACATTACAAGACTTCTTGTCTAAATTTAATATGGAGGCTTCGGAAATAGCAGATTGCCATCATGCTACCGCAACAGAAACATTCAACCTTGCAATGATTCAGGAAACCAAGTTCCATACTTCCTTAGTTAAGTATTCCCCTTCGGATATGCAAACTCTCAATGCTAAGGCACAGATCTACATCCGGCTTGAGGAGAATGTGACCCACTGAGCTCAACATGCCACCCTTATCACGGTGGAGAACAAGCCTCAGGAAAGGGTTTCAAATTCAAAAAGCCGAAGAAGCCAGCACGCATCGGCACTAGCCGTTCAATTACCTGAAAAAAGGCAAAGGATAGAGGAAAAGTTTACGCCTCTTTGCACAACCTTAGCTCGGTTGTTCCAGGAGAATAAAATGAAATTTGCAACCCCTCAGCCAATAAGGCAACCATTGGAACAGAGAGACAAAACCAAGCATTGCACTTACCACAGAGATTATGGGCATACGACTAATGATTGCAGATCCCTTAGGCGGCAAATGGAAAACATGATACTGAGAGGTGAATTGGCAGACTACCTTACAACAAAGGAGTACATGAAGCCCCGGGAGGTCAACCCTCGGAAAGTTGAAGATAGTCAAGTGAAGGTCATCCATGCAATACATGAACAACAAAAGCATATACCATACACCCTACTGTACCATACTGTTGATATTACAACAAAAGAAGGACATCAACACAATGCAAACAAAAACACAAAGCAAACGAAACGAAAAATTTTGGTTTTTTACTGGTACTTAAAAGTCTCTTTTTCATACAAATGCACGAAAGTACAAGTATGTACCCAAAAGTACAAGTATGTACCCCATTATTGATATTACAAGTTCTTTTTTAAATGAACAGTTAGGCTCTATCTAAATCATGAGCCCAAAGGTGTTTTACAGTTTTTTCATTTGGGGACACAAACCATAAGTAGATGTAGCCAAAAGCCCTTATCTACTATGGTCCCACATCGGGAAAAACTTGTTTCTATACTACCTTTATATAGGGAAATATTAAAGTATTGGGTGCATTGCAAAGAGGGCCCGTTGGTAACAGTAACGGCCTAGCCCAAGTTGTGCTCAAAGCCCTTGTACCAACGGGCATTCTTTGCAATAATTTTTGTTCTTTCCAAACAAACTAGTTTTGTGACTCATATATCCTTTGACCCACATCGAATAAGAATACAAAAGGTATATAGTAAATATAGAGTTGGCAAGCTACGTTTGATCGCCACGAAGAGAGTCCCTGTGAAGGAAAACCTTCCAAAACAAATGTATGGGGGACTTCCCAGTCACAGTTACTCTCTTTCTTGGCCTCATATCATTTTTGAATCTTCGGCAAGCCTGGCATACTTGATGATTTTCCCAGATCCGGCTCACAGCCGAGGACACTTCGCTTCGGACCCCAAGAGTCCAGCACAGAAAAGTTCCTCTCCGGCTCACAACCGAGGACACTTCGCTTCGGACCCCAAGAGTTCAGCTCAGAAAAGTTCCTCTCCGGCTCACAGTCGAGGACACTTCGCTTCCGACCCAAGAGTCCAGCTCAGAAAAGTTCCTCTCTAGCTCACAGCCGAGGAGCCATCATTTCGGACCCTAAGAGTCCATCTTAGCACAATTCTTCTTTGGCTTGTAGCTGAGGAACAAAACTCTTCGGACCCCAAGTGTCCGACACATTATAATT